CAACACTATCATACTGGCTGCGCTCTTGACCACGGGCAGAGTATTGCCAGTCATATGCGACGGCACCCAGCGCGGCCAGACACGACACGTCGTAGTGGACAACTCGACTCGCAACTGGCCGCGGAGAAGAGACGACATAATTATGGGGCCACCCTTTGGTTCAGCCAAAGACTTGGCTGGACCTCACCGCAGTGAATGAGGATTTGCGCCTGCAACTGTTTTTCCTGATCGCTGCCCTGTCGAACTCGGTTCCCGTGTTTTTCCAGCAGCCTCGTGATTCTTCCAGTTGGTCGATTCCAGAATTTTAGTCTGCACTTCTTGGGCACTCAGGGGCCCAATCGGACCTGGCTGAGGCTCCCCTCCTACGTAGCGTCTCGGTCCCAGGGGATGAGGACCTCAAAGGCCAGGCCTCGATGGCGGCTGGTCGAGGCAGAGCTCATCCCGACAGCTGGGAGGCTACTGCGGCCTTCTAGTGGTGAGTGGGCGGGGTAGTAAGCATCAGTCAGGATGGGAGGAGGTACTTCGACCGATTGCCTCCCCCGGAAGCTCGTGATCCTTATGAAGAAAATCCTGCAGGCGCGTTGCAACTTAAAACCCGATGTACGTCGGATCCACGTCGGATTTACATCGGATTTACGTCGGGTTCACGTCGGATTACGTCGAATTTACGTCGGACTGACGCTGGAGCATCGTCGCGCAAACGTCGACCCATTGCTTACGGACCTGACGTGTGAATTAGATAGTACTACTATTAGGTGCCGCGCGAAGCCTCCAAGATAATCCTCACAATGATCCTGCTGAAGGGGGTCTCTCACTCTGCACGGCGAGGCCCGTGTTCCTCGCCGTGCAGAGCTTGGCTGGCAGCGCAGGGGCTCGTGCTCCCCTGCGCGCCAGCCCGTGCCGAGGGCGGGGCCCGTGTCCCCGCTCTGGAGGAGGAAGAGTAGCCGCACGGCTAGGCCTTAGGCGAGGGGAAAGACAAGGAAGAGGAGGAGGAGGGGGAGGAGGAGGAGGAAGAGGAGGAAGAGGAGGAAGAGGAGAGGAGGAGGAGGGGGAGGAGGAGGAGGAAGAGGAGAGGATGGCCACCGACCAGGAATGCCATCACGCAGCACGGTGGGCACTGCCCGGCACAGAGAGAGGACCCCAAGGATGTCTACTCGTGCACGGCTGTTCCCTGCCCAATCTCAGATCTGGCAGAACGCGGAATCGAGACGGTCGGCTTTCCCTCAACGTGGCCCGCTCTGGTAGCCCGTGTCAGACCCTGGGGCCGCCAAACGGCGGCTCAGAATAGAAAGCCAGCCCCAAGGAAGGCGTCGAGAGCCAGATGGCCCACGTTCCGAATCAAACCGTGACGTCAGATGAGGAAGGGGTGTCGACGTGGACATTCGCCTCTGCCACCAGGCATAGATCGTGCAAAGCTGAGCGATCTCCACCATCCGACTGCGGAGATCGTCGAGGTCGGCCTGGTTCAAGCCGGCGGCGGCATTCAACCTGTAACGCCCGCGCTGGCGTCGCCGCTGCATCGACGCGGCATGAGATCGAGCGGGGCTTCCTATTACGAGTATCGGCGTAAGCGCGTAAGCCTCAAGGATAAGCTACATAACCTCTGCAGGTGAGCGAATCCAGGGGGCGTGTGGGGTGCTACTGCCGTTGCAGTGTGGTCTGCAACATTTCTGAGGCGGCTCTGACAAATCACAACGGTTCCGAGATTGCACCAAGCCACGAGCGGCTGCCATGTCACGGAACCCACATGACAACTGACTCTGGTTGGCCGCCTCAGCGGAAACCTCCCAACTGGGGCCACAGCAGATGGGGCCGGATGAACGCGCCGCATCACGGATGCATTGGCGACGGCGAGATGAAGAAAAAACAGGCTCTAGATCGCGCCGCATCGGCGATGCGGCGCCAACTTCCAACGCCATCTGCTCCCGATTTTGCGAGGCATGGACTCAGGGTTTTGCCGCGCGCGCGCCACGCGCGCCGCGGGCTAGTCTGGTAGTTCCTCTTCCTGCCCCTCGCCCGACTTCCCTCCCTCCCTGAGCGCTATCGCGCGCAGGAGGATGACGGACGGATGGGTGGCTGGAGGAGCGGTGGAGGGGCGAGGGAAGACGAGGGAAGGCGCGAGGGAGGTAGGGTTAAGGCGAACCTGTTTATCCCTCTACACGAGGATTTTGGGCAACAAATAAAAAAACATACCAAAATAGTGAACAAACAAAAAATCGTCCCCAGACTATTTTGACTATTTTGAGTATTCCTCCTATTGGGGGACAGGCCTGGCTTACAGGTAGGGTGAGGTCAGGTCAGAGCCCCTGGAATCCTCATCATGCGCAGCAGCAGACCAGTTCGAGGCTGACAGACAAGCACCCGCGGAAGCTACCTGCCTGGGCGATGTCGGAAACCCTGAACCACAAAAGGTGTTCATCTCTTGGGGGCCCATCTTGTACTTCCGCCGCCTCCCGCCGAGCTGCCGCGCCGGCTTCCGCCGGCGGAGGCGGCCTCATTTTTTGAGCAGGGACCGACCGTCCCGGCATTCTTCTAGGCCTGCCACGAAATTATCTTAGAGCCGCCAAATGTTCTAGTTTTACTGTTCGAGCTATACTTCCGCCGACCTTCCGCCGCCCTTCGCCGAGGAGGAGATGACAGCTCCTTCGCTCCTCGACGGCAAAGGCCATGTTTGGAACGCTCCACGTAGCCTGCCGGCTGCATTGAGGACCCATCGCCATGGATGCGGCCGCGCCCTGCCAATGGCAGCGCGATGGCCACGCGGGGGCCTTCGCAGCTCTGGCACCGGGGGACCGCTCCACTCCACAGCCACGCCCCGCCAGCCCGACCGCGGCCCTCCCCCCCTCCTCTCCAAAAGGAAGAAGAAGAGGCTGCGAGACATGGACAACTCGGAGGTTCGGAGGTCGGCGCGGATGTCTTGGATCGGTGCTGGACCCCCTCCCGGGCCCCAGCGCGCAGAGCGCGCCAGGGGCGGCGCTCGAGGCGCCGCCGGGGGAGGTCCGGCGCCGATCCGAGCATGCCGCGCCGGCCTCCGAAACAATTTGCTTGTGCCGATCTTGTCATGAGTTCTGGGTGGCGGTGGCTCGTGCTTATCCTCTGAGAGGAGGGACGGCCCAGACTTCGGTTGACCAAACATGGGGGTCCAGCTGAGAGGGGTCGGTGCACTTGATGTGGGGCCATAGTATTGCAAACGTACTGCGCCAAATAATTGGATTGCATTGTATTGCAGCTACTGCATTGCACGCAAAATTCCAGCAAGACATTTGCGCGCCGGAATGTACTGCACGCCCCAAATCAGTTGCAACCCCACAAATCTAGCTCACCAAATCTACAGCGGAGGCCAGTCCACAAGACACCTTCCACAAGAAACCCGACCCTGAGACCCAAGGACGTCCATTGATTTGATTCTTGGCGTGGGAACGTCGCGCTTTCCATAGCAGAACCATCGAAGCCCAAGAAACCCAGGGCACCCTGGAAACAAGCAGGGTGTTTCTTGGCATGGGTCTCCGGTGTAGGGGAACGAGCAATGGCAGAAACACAAAAACTCTGAGGTCCGCGCGGATTTCTCGGATCAGCGCGCCAGGGTCGGCGCCGGAGGCGCCGCCAAGGGGGTCCAGCGCCGATCCGAGTTGTTCTGTTCATGTCATTGTTCGCCCCCCCCCCAGGAAAAGGCTAGCAGGCCTCCATTGAGGTAAGCAGCGTGCTTCCTGGCATGGGTCTCCACTGCATTGCACCACCCCCTTTCATAGAAGAAGAAAAAACGCTATAAACACGAACATTTGGCGCTCCGCGCGGATTTCTTGAATCTGCGCTGGACCCCCCCCCCTGGCGCGCGGAGCGCGCCAGGGGCGGCGCCGGAGGCGCCGCTGGGGGGGCTCAGCGCGGATCCAAGAATACCGCGAGGAGCGCCAAAGGTTCATGTTTATAGCGTTTTTTTCTTCTTCGATTTCAGCTGGACCCCCTTGTGGGTCAACCAGGCAAGACGTCGATCGCCGCAGCCTGTTGCGGTGCCGGCGGCTCTGCTCGAGGCTTGGCCTCCAAAATGGGCCGTTCCTCGCGACGCCCGGGGCCGCCAACTGAGCTGCAAAGGGATAACTTTCGGGCCCGTCCCCCTACAAGTAGATTTGGAAGAACAGAAATCTAAAATACCCCAAAAGCATCAAACACTAGTCGACAAATAATCAAACAATCGTCCCCTGACTATTTTTTGACTATTTTTGAATAATCCCTCTGTAGAGGGACACGCCCGACTTAAGGAAAATTACGTACCCAAGGAATGGAACGCAGGAGAGCCCAGAATCGAATCGATAAGTCGGATCGGCGATCGAAATGAATCGGATCGGTGGACATCGGCAGCCGAGTCGGGAGAAGTCGAATCGGCAGAGATCGGCACTAGTATGCCTCCAATGCGAAATCGGAACACTAATCGGAATCTCAAGTCGAATCCAATCGGAATCGGAAGCCATCGAAGTCGAATCGAATCGGAGGAATCGAAAAGAGCCCTGGGAACGGGAGCTCTGGGGACCCAAGGGTTGCAAGAATGTCGAGGCGCCGGCGGTGAAAGGCATCCCTCTTATAGACCTCCCGCATTCAGGTTTTGCGCCCGTCGCCGCTTCTGGAACTCTTGACCAATTTTCCTGGGACCAATTTAGTTGACGGTCCCGGGGGGGCTGGAAGCCGAGCGTTCCGAAACAGATACCTGATCCCTCTTTTCTCCCTTCCTCCCTCTTCCCTTGCTCCACCTCCTCCAGCCCCAATTCACCCTCCTTCCTCGTCCGTCCACTCCAAGCCTCCTCTGCGACTCTACCACTGCACTCCTCTCCTCTTTCTTCTCCGTTGCTCCTCTCCTCTCCTTGCCTTCCCATCGAATCTTCCGTTCTCCTCCATCCCCCGCCTTCTCCTCCATGCTCCCGACTCCTCCCCCTCACCCACACGTCTGGACGTCGAGCCCCCCATGCAGGGACTTGCGAGGAAGAGACCGCGCCCGCCCACCCCCTGGCCTCTGCATCGCCCAGTCCAGGTCACTGGCGCTCTTGATCTGGATTCCGGAGAGCCTGGGCAGAGGCAGTGGCAGAGGCAAGTCCCGCCAGGCGACTCGAAGAGCCGCCCGCCCGATGAATGGGGACGGAAACGAAGACTGCGAAACAACAAAGACGACTACCTGTGCAAAATACGAATAACACCCCTCACAGTCAGAATAACACCCCCTCACAGACGAGAGCCTGGGCACCCCCCTGGTTCGCCCCGAGGCAGGTGGGGTGCTGGCATGGCCAGTCCTTCCCCCAGGACGGCCGACAGGAGCAAAGGGGATCGGCCACCACAATCACACTTTTTGCGTCGGCGGCTAGGCAGAGTGACTGCGCTGGCGGAAGGGCACATGTTTGCCCAACAGATGCAAATTAAGGCGATGCACGAGGGGGGAGAGGACGCGCCCGGCGACGGCGGCGCATCGGCAGAAGAGATGGTATTACAGAAAGCCAAAGAAGACCCCTGCAAAGGCATGCCCGGGCGGAGTAAGAACGCGCCGCAACGCAACCAATTGCAGCAGTGGGTGGCGGTGGGAGTCCACACTCGCCAGGAGAAAATGGATGGTCCTCCTGGTAGCGTTAGGTCGGGCGTGTCCCCCTACAGGCAGATTTGGGGTGAAGAATTGACAAATTGCCAAAATACATCAAACACATTCAAAAATGATGGAAAAATCGTCCCCATACTATGTTTTGTCTATTTTTGGATATTCCGACATAATGGGCCCCACTCCTGGTTCGGCGTCTGCTCCCCCCGCCGAATCAACGCGAAGTCGGGGTCGGCCTGCTGGGCGCCGCGTTCAACTGCCACTGGGAATCCTGCCGCGCGAATACTTATGCGAAATACTTCGCGAATGATTCCGCGCAGTCGAATGCGTGGAATTTGAAGCCGGCCCCTGGATACTCGAAGATTCTGCTCGACAGACCCATGGCGACCACGAGTGGATACTCCAATCGGGCATCGCATGTGATGTCGCGGCTGCCGCGCTGGAACGAGTTTACATTCGTGCGCGATCCGGCGCAAAATACAAGCTGATGCCGCCGATGTTCACATGTGTCTCGGGATGAGAATCTAATCAAATAGGGAGCCAGAGCCCGATGAACAATATGATGTGGAAGCTGCACCATTGCGCATGATCCCAAAATCGCTGAAGAAATTCAGCATGGCGTTGGCTGCGTAGCGTGTGTGTGTGTGTGTTTGTGTGTGTGCGTGTGTGTGTGTGCGTGTGTGAATTGTGTGTGTGTGTGTGTCTGTACGTGTGTGCGTGCGTGCGTGCGTGCGTGCGTGCGTGCGTGTGTGTGCGTGCGTGGGTATGTTTGCGCGTGTGTTTAGGGAAGCGTCCGAGCCCAGGGTGCGATTTTCAATACAGAGAACAACATGAAGAGGAGGAGGGAGGACAAAAAGAGGGAGGGACGACGAGGAGGGGGGAGCTGGACTGGACGCCGCCGTTCAGGCGGCGGAGACGCAGGACGGAACGGCAGCAGGGGTTGAGGCAGCGGGATGGGGAAGGAGGAACCGAAGGCAGAGGAGGAAAACGAGGGAGCACGTAACCATGGGAACGAAAAGTGGCATAAACATAAAAACTCTGAGGTCCACGGGGGTTACTTGGATCGGCGCTGGGTCCCCCTGACGGCGCCTCCGGCGGGGCCCCTGGCGCGTTCCGCGCGCCAGGAAGGGGGGTCGAGCGTCGATCCGAGAAATCCGAGCGGACCTCCAAGTTTCTGTGTCATGTCATTGTTACTTCCCCTAGTAACGAAAAATAAGCAACAAAGGACAAGCGAGGATCTGGGAGACGTAAGACTCGGGCACGGGGGACCCGGGTTGGCCTGACGGGGACCACCATGAAAATGACGAGACCCGATCTCAAATTTGACGCGGGCTCCCGCGGCAAACACCCCACGAAAACTGGACCGTCCAAATACAGGACGCGCTCTTCAAAAACCGCCGGCAAACCCGAGTTCCGCCCTCCTCGAGTCTTACGCTTCCCCGAGAGGGAGCACGGGGAGGGGCCCACCCATTGAGCAGGGGCCGACCGTCCCAGCATTCCTATAGTCGCACGACGACATGTTAGAACCCCCACAATGTTCGAAAAACCAAAGCAATGTTCTAATAGCATAAACCCGATATGATAAAACAAGACAGTCCCAGCCAGAAATGTTCTAAGACCATTTCGTGGAAACCACAGAGCAAGTTCTCAGGACATTGTTTTGTGGGCCTAAAGGCACGCCAGGACGTTTCGCCACTGTTTGAACCCACTGGGCCTCGAGAGCGGCCATGCCTCCGCCTCGGCGGACGACTCGCTCGCCACCGCGAGGCCGCTCGCGGTCGGCAGAAGGCCGGCCGCCGCAGCCAGGAGCGCTGCCTGCGGAGCGGCAGCAGGGGCAGGGAGGTCTCCCCTCCGCCCCCTCCCACTCCCCCCCCCGTCCTCCTCCTCCCCCCCCCCCTCCTCAACCCCACCCCCTCCTCCCGAGGTTTCTCCTGTACCTCCTCCTGTACCTCCTCCTCCCCTCTCCTCCTCCCTCCCTTCCTGGCCCTGTCACCCACACAGTCACACACTTACTCACTGGCCCACTCCTCACTCATTCACACACACACACCCACACACCCACCCACCCACCAACCCATGCACCCACCCACTCACAAACCACAGACCCACAGACACACACAGACACACGAACACACACACACAGACACACGAACACACACACACACACACACACAACACAACACACACACACACACTCGAGGATAGTTGCCAGGCAGGCGTAGCGGCATGCTATCACATGCAGACGCACACCCACAGACACACACACACACACACACATCCTCACCCTCCTCCTCCTCCTCCTCCTCTTCCTGCTGCTCCTGTACTCCGGCTCATCAGTCTGCTCACCCGCGACCTCATCCTCCTCTTCCTCCATCTGCGCAGCTTCCGATTGCTAATGACACGATGCGTCTTTTATAGTTCCAGATCGGCTATGGCACGCGTCCGCGGATAGAGACAAACATCAACGCAATGAGAAGGGATAGGGGGTGAGAGGTAGGATGTCAGGTATATGGCTCGAGCACACCTAGCTTGTCGCATTTCCTCACGGTTTCCTCCTCCTCCAACTTCTCCGCCTCCTCCTCCTCCGCCTCCTCCTCTTTTTCCTCCTCTTCTTCCTCCGTCTCCTCCTCCTCCTCCTCCGTCTCCTCCTCCTCCTCCTCCTCCTCCCTCCTCCCTCCTCCCTCCTCCAGCTGCTCGAGGGAATCCCCACCCAGCTCGCAGCATCCACTCACCTACAGAACCCTACTTACTCCTCGCGCGCTCCCCCCGACAGGAGCACAGCGACTGGGATGCTGGCGCGGGCGCAGAGCGCGCCCGCCAGACCCGCGGCGGCGCGGCTCGCCGCGCTGAGAGTGGTATTGTACAATCCCCTGTCGCTGATTGAGCCGCAGCGCATCACAGATACATGGCAAACACTGAGAGCAGATATCGTAGTATTACCAGGTACCAGATTGAGGGCAAGTTCGGGGACACCGGTAAGTAGAATGAGTCTGGGGAAGGGGGCCACGGCGCTCCACGCGGGATGGGACAAAGGCCCCTACACCAACAAGCATGCAGGGTGCACGATCATGTTCGGAGGCCAGTTCAGAGCAAAACACCTTAGAGCGATCACTACTCCTCCGACTACGTTGCAGGGAAGGGGGATGGCGATTCGATTAAGAAACAAGAGCGTGGACCTCAGTATCATAACTACGTGCATGCCGCCGCTGAGTGACGAGTCCGCCAGGAAGAGGAGAGCCCTCGAGAAAGGCTCGACACAGTTACTCCAGTGGGCCTCCAGGGAGCTCAAGGCAGTACCCACACGGTCCACACCAATATTACTGGGAGATTTCAACACACCGATGGGGCTCCGAGGTGGCCTCCCAACAGTTGCGCCCACAACACATTACGATTGGTGGGAGGAGGAGAGGCTCCTGGCGGGCCCTTACAATGTGGGAGAACAAATCGTCGTGGGAAATATGATTCAGAATGAGATTTTAGGACCGAGGAGATGTATGACGCGGTCACAGCCGACAGTCTCGGAGGGCCGACGTTATTCGGGAACAAAGCTAACAGCAGCACGATCGACCATACCTGTTTGCCGCTCGCGGTTCGAGAACAGGTCCAACCATGTCGGGTACTATGGCCACAAGCGAGACAATTACAGATGATACCGAGTCGAATGCCAAGCGACCATGTACCAATATTGCTCAGACTCACAGTGTATCGACTGTATGAGGAACAGACGGAAGCTAAACCACGCTGGGATCGGGACAATCTTGCCGCGGCTGTGCAGAGGGGCCAAGGCAGGGAATCATTCTTGGAAGAGCTCGAGCAAGTGATGCAACGTCTATTGCCACGGATATCCCTCCTGGCCCAGCAGGGCCATGTTGATGAGGTGTGGAATATGTGGACGACGGCCGTGTGCGACACAGGGTTGAGACACTTCCAGCTAGTTAGACCACAACCTGATCCCGAACTGACTGAACTACGCAGACGTCGACTCGAGCTAGTACGACGGCGACGCGAATTACGAGAGGGGTTACAGTTATCATATTCACATCATCCAGCTTATTATTCTCAGAGCGTGACGGAGACCAGGATGGACGCCGAAGAACGTACGCAAAAATCATCAATGGAGATGCCGCACGTGCCAGAAGTAACCCGCATGAGCGAGGGAGCCTAGTACAGAGATACGAGGAGCGCAGGGACATCATCAAGTTCACCACACATCCAGGGTGCTACGAACAGTCCAGAGGCATCAGGCTGTGCTGGAGAGAGAGAGGACCAGAGGCCCTTGAGGAGTATTTCGCCAGAACCGATTGCACCACCAATGGACCCAGAGCTGATGGAGCTTCAGGAGATCAAGCTCCGCCTCCGCCGTGAGACAAGAGATAACTGGCATCGAACGAGGCGGAGGTTGGAGCGTGAGATAGAGGAGGCACATAGAGCTAGACGACACGCAGAAGAACACAAACTTCTTTTTTTGTTGGCAGCGAAGCAAGGAGGACCGAGACGGAGACGCTATAACCTGCCGCAGACGCACGAGACGAAGTCGGAGTGGGAACAGCAGCTCAGCATGTCCGCAGCGGGGGGGGGGATTGAAGCGATACCGATGGACGTAGAGCGCATGCTGTCTTTTTTTTCTCAGCCTCCCCCACTACCAGGAGATGAAGAACAGGAGAGAAATGAGTGCTTTGGCCGCAGAGATTTTCAGATGACGCCGCGCCAGCTTCGCAAGAGTCAGACGCGAAGAGCAACACCGTCATGGAGTTTTCCAGTAGAGTTGCACCTCATGGCCGCGGACCCCAGCTATCTATCTGTGGGGCCCGAGGAACACCTAGGACTTGGATGTATCCCCATAAGTGAGACGACCATGACAACATCGGCGCAGGTGCTGGAGGATTTACACATCGCATGTCGTACGATAGGTCGTACACCGATATTGGGGAATCTGGCATGGGCTACTCCGATCGCCAAGTTTAACGGGAAAGTTGGAACGCTTTCGAAAAGATTGATCAACGTGATGTGTCCGTACTGGAAGGGGTTCTATCTGAAAAACATGCACACCCAGGGAGTTCGATGGCCTGCTGAATTGCACGGTTTCCTCCCCCGTCGTCGACGTGAGGACGCTATAGCAATGCAACTATGTATGGGCTTCAGGTACCGCACACAGCGCATACCACACTTGAACACCCTGCACGACATGACGAACGCGTTTGCCTCGACTACCGCACGTGCACGTAGACATGCTATTCATAAACTATTCGGGCACGCTGATGCACAACTCATGCACACACGCTCGGAGACCTCTGGAGATATCATAAGTTTCGAGGATTCCCAGGAGGACCCTTGGAGGCATAACATGAACCTGTCCGTCCGACATCGCCGAGGGGGTCTAATGGGATCCAGCGAGGAGCCAGTAGTCTTCGCTAAAGCGATGGAGCAGCCGATGCGCCAGTGGATCGACAAGCGTTCGACGGCGTCGGAGGTCACACAGCTTAGGTGCAGTATCTTTGGAGGTACCTGTTGTGGGGCGACGACGGTTTACGCTGACGACATATTTGATAAGATACCGATTACCGATACGAACCCCGAAGCGATCAAGAGGACCCTGGAAACGAGCGACGCTTTTTTGGACCAGGAACTGGAGGAGGTGGGTTTGATTCAAAACTACAGTAAGAGAGAAACAGTCCCGAGCCTCAGAAGCCATCGAGCGAACAAGAGTTTCACCAAGGAATTCGACGGTGGCAAAGCTCTTCCTCGTGCTAGGTATCTGGGCAGTCGCTACGCCTGGAACCGTTCCAGCATGGAGGAGTTCAAGTACCGCAGTTCAGCGGTGCATGTCGGGTGGGGGAAGACGGGGAAGCTATGGACTAGTCGGATATCAAGGAGTATCAAACGGCTGGCCTTTAGGGGCCATGTGGTGGAGGCGGCGTTTCCGAATGTTTTTTTTTCGATTTTACAGACACATCAACTGGACGTTATGATATAAAAATATCTGAGGGTACTGGAAAGAGGGAGAGCGACGGACTGGGAGGGAGATCATCCACATACGCTACCCAGTGCAGTGCTGCGCCGAAAGTGGCGCATTATGCCGATCCGCCTTGAGCAGGCGGCCAGGAGATTTGGATGGGTGCAGCAGATGGCCAAGGACGCTGTCGCGCACCGACAAGTGATTGCAACGATTTGGGGTGCACTACAGAGTGGACCCGAGAGATTGGACGCTGACGGCAAGCTCACGAAGTCCGCACCGCCGATCGCCACGCAGATCGAAAAAGACGTCTGGACCTTTGCGCACATCAGTGGAGCGGAGGACTTCTTTGAGGCATGGGAGTCTTGGGGGTATTCTTGGAAGGCGTTATTCCTGGAGGACGAGGTCCGCGAGACCTTCTTGAAAGTAGACACTAAACTATTACGAGCGGCTGTATTACATGAGGGGGAGGAGATAGTTCTAGCACAACTTAGAGGACCCGCACAGGCTCTTCGGGAGGATGGAGGACCCTCAATGGAACCTGGTAGACATGCATGTACACGTAAAGACGAACATGGGAACTATTGCTCACGAGTATTTGATACACGTAGTGCGCTGTTCGCCCACCAGTCCCGTTCCAAGGGGGGAGAGCATGGAAGATTGAATCAACATTTGTCATCGGTTATCTCGAATGTCTGTCCCTGGTGCCGAGGTTGTTTCTCGACTAGGGACAGCGCCAAACAACATGTCCGCACGGCCTGGCTAAACAATCGCTGTCGTCTCAACCGCACGGCCTTTTCGTGGAGCACTGTGGAACCCAAATCAAAAACGTGTCCGATGTGCGGGGAGGAACACGACACGCTGGAGGAGTTTCTGGACCATGCCGTCGAACAGCACTTACCTCCCCCCCCGTCGCCATTCTGCCCAGTGCACCTCGTGTTCGCCTCAGAGCCGCAGATCGCCCTGCCCCAGCGGACCCTGCTCGCCATGCTGACCCTGGGAGGCGAGCCCGCCAAGCCAGAGCACGAGCGATTTCAGCGCCGCCGAGTGGACGACGACGCCAGCAAGGCGAAGGTCGTCAAGAGCGCCGCAGGCCAGAACGCAGCCAACAAGGCGCTGATGGTGCTCATGATGAAGATGATCATGCAGTTGGCGCAGTCCCGTCGCACGGTGGAGGGCATACTCTTCGATGTGATCATCGTGCCGCACGACATGCCAGAAGTAACCCGCATGTCAGAACAGGGAGCCAAGTACAACGAGCAGGTGCAGGCGAAGGGCAAAGGACACAACCTAGGAGCGCCGCACCTGTACGTGTTCGGGGGGCTGATGGAGGCGCTGCTGCAGCGCCAGGAGAGCATAGGGAAGCAGAACTTTGTGAAGCTGCAGGAGTTCAAGCAGCGCCTCAGCACCCTGAGCTACGAGGAGCGCATGGACTTTATCAAGTTCACGAAGCCCGACAGGTGCTACGAACAGTCCAAGAGGCGCATCACGCTGTGCCTGGGAGAGGGCCGAGTGGAGATCATCTCAGCGTTGAAGCAGTTGGGCGGCGAGCTGAAGTCGGGGAGGGCACCAGCGTCGCACATGGAGCGCGAGATGCAGGAGTGGCTCGAGGCGTTCATAGCGTAGAGACGAGAGTGAGGACATCACTACGTGCAGAGGAGAAGGTGCGGGAGGATGACGTTCCAGAATCGACGGGAGATTCACAACATCCAGCACATAAGTATTCTCAGAGAGTGACGAGAGACAGTATATCGAGCAGGCCGCCGCTGGTGACAAACAGTGCATGGCGAGATCGAGTGAACGCATCATCTTCATCACGATCCATACCACCACCAGCAAATATATCGTCCTCGACGTTATCAAGCACGACGAGAACCCTGAGGCCCTTGGGGAGTATTTCGACCAGTGCTCCGATTGCGCCCAGTGGACCCCAGAGGTTATCTGCGAGTCCTCAGAAGCCCTCGAGTAGTATGACGACCAGGACTCCAGTTGCCACCAGTGGATCCCAGAGGCCGACCACGGGGATCCAGAGGCCCTTGAGGAGTATTTCCACGCCCCCGACGATGGCCCCTTCGAGTGCCAGTAGGTGGCTGAGCCAGCAGGTAGTAGGAGAGGAGGTGAGTAGGATGGCGGAGCGTGAGTTACAGCGTAGGGGTGGGCTGAATAGCTTGGGTTCCAGGGACGTCGAGCGCTTCTTGATGGCCCAGGGAGTGCCTAGATATTATGTTAGGTGGGAGGCTCTCGCTCGCAACAGACATGTTCAGGAGATGGCTCGCCGACTGGGGTGAGTCTTCTTTCCCGCGGGTCTGGACACGGGAAACTCGTTCCCGCGTCTAGTGCCTCGGGCTGTGGACCAGCTTTCGGTCTAGCCCTGGGGCGAGCGTCCCAGGCGTGTTGGATCCTTCATAAAGGATAGTCTCTGGGCCTTTTTGAGCCGTCGTAGGTGGACGAACCTGGCCCCAAGGGAGCGGTTCTTTCTTTCTTTCTTTCTTTCCTCCCTCCTCCCTCCTCCCTCCTCCCTCCTCCTCCTCCTCCTCCTCCTCCTCCTCCTCCTCCTCCTCCTCCTCCTCCTCTTCCTGATCCTCCTCCTCCTCCTCCTCCTCCTCCTCCTCCTCCTCCTCCTCCTCCTCCCTCAAACCCCTCCTCCCTCCTCCTCTCCGCCTCCTTCCTCCCCCCACCCGCCCCGCCCGCCGGCCGCCTGCAGCGACGCGCGGCGCGGCATCTCCCTAACGCATGTGCGAGGTGGCCTCGGGCGCGCACGCTCTCGCGGGCGCGCGCGCGCACCGCCTCCTCCTCCTCCTCCTCCTCCTCCTCCTCCTCCTCCTCCTCCATATCCTCCTCCTCCTCCTCCTCCTCCTCTTCCTCCCCCTCCTCCTCCCCCCCCTCCTCTCTTCCTCAGCCTCCTCCTCCTCCGCCTCCTCCTCCTCGTCTTCCTGCGCTCGCCGCCCTCGCTTCGTTTCGTGTTCCCTCCTCCGCCGCCGCGTGCTGAGGCCGTGGTTACGGGTCAGCGCTGGGGGTTCAGGGGTCCAAAAAGCGCCGCCGAAACGAGTGGGGATGTCACGGCCGCAGCGATCTTACGTCGCGCGAACATTCATACACGCCACTCGCAAAACATATCATAATTATGCACGCCTCTGACACTAAGACCCCAAACGCCTTGACGTGGCCCCACGACGCGGTGGGAACAGAAAACTCACTTACGAAGTACGTTCGGCAACTCGCAACGCAACCTCACGCCACGACGAAACATAGATCAGGCCGATATCCGTCCCGCGCACAGGCGCTACAACGCCTCGCCGCGCCCCCGTCAGACGCCACCGACGAAGTCTGGGACAAAACTGCCGACGCCCACCCAGGAACGCGACAATCTACGTTATCCGACAACCGCCTAATGCGCCCAAAAAGCCGCCGAAAAAACCTCGTCGAGGCAAATCTCGAGCGCGAGTCGCCGACGCGGAAGCCCAGACCATGCAACGTCAAGAAGCCTCTGAGGCAACATCGATTCGGAATGCGTGACTGTGACCCCCAAGCATCTAGCGTTTGCGGTACCACGCGATCAAGTGCACGTGGCTGTGCTTAGGATGAGGGGGAGGAGATGAGGGACGAATGGGGGTTGGCAGTTGGGTTTGGAGGACGTGGGGCGGCTGAGCGAGGAGGGGCGTAAGATGGTTGATGCGGAGGCGCTGATGAAGGGGCGGGCAGACAACGCAAGCAAGGATGAGTAATAGTCGGGCGAGTGGGACGGGAACCGCAAACTAGGCGTATCACGATTTGTGTAGAAAGGGTATGGCGGCAGTGTTGCGGCTCCTCCGTGACTTGCTGCTGCCCCTGCCCCTCCACTTCCTCCTCCTCCTCCTCCTCCTACTCCTCCTCCCCCTCCCCCCTTTCCGCCTCGTCTCCCTTTTCCTCCTCCTCCTCTTCCTCCCCCTCCTTCTCGCGGGGAGGTGGTGCCCAACCGTCAGTGGCATCATGCCAGAGCGGACAACCTCGCCGTCAGCCACGCTGGGGCGAGCATGGGCGGGGATGCGGGCTCAAGAGGCCACGAGCACAACCCCGACGTGCGATCATGTTCTGAAGGCTCCTGATGCGCGGTAAGGCGGAGGCCCGCCAAGAATTCCAAAAAATCAAAACCAAAATTGTTTCGTGACACATCCCTAAAAACATCAAAAACCAATAATTCAAAAACATATGATTGCTGATTTCTAATTGTTGCGATGGCCTTGTAAAGGGCAAATCAACATCATGTCCGCTTTGCAATTACTGCGATGGGAGATTTCCGCCCACCACAGCATCATCGCCAACATCATTTACATCGCCATCACTGTTCCGCACTCGACACCCGCGGGTTGCTGAGGGGGCGGTAACTTATGCATAACTTATGCATGAGTGTCGCGGCATCGCGGCGTCGCGGCGTCAGCCGCGGTGAGCCCTGGAGGCCTCCCTAGATCGGCGCACGCCTCACGCGGAGCGTGGCGGGGTCAGGCGGATGGGGCCGAAGGCCTCCGAATGTAATTGAACCCCATGGGGGCCCTGGGAGGCCCCCGAAAACCGCGCAGGTTTCGCCGCGCCCCTCGCGCGGATTGCGGGATCCGGCGGACTGGCCGAAGGCCAAAGAACATCGTCGCTGCCTAGATCGGCGCACGCCTCACGCGGAGCGTGGCGGGGTCAGGCGGACGGGGCCGAAGGCCTCCGAATGTAATTGAACCCCATGGGGACCCTGGGAGGCCCCCGAAAACCGCACAGGTTTCGCCGCACCTCTCGCGCGGATTGCGGGGTCCGGCGGACTGGCCGAAGGCCAAAGAACATCGTCGCTGGTTTCTGAGGGGGCGGTGCAGTGTCGCGGCATAGCGGCGTCGTGCCGTCAGCCGCGGTGGGCCCTGGAGGCCTCCCAAACACCCTGGAACCTTGGTCGGCGCACCCCTCACGCGGATCGCGGGGTCAGGCGGCCGGGGCCGAAGGCCTCCGAGTGTAACTGATACCTCGGCCAATGGGCTCCGGGAGGCCCCCGAGAACCGCGCAGGTTTCGGCGCACCCCTCACGCGGATTGCGGGGTCGGGCGGACTGGCCGAAGGCCAGAGTCACTCAGGGCAATTGCGGCAACGGGCCTCACGATGGCCGCGAGATCGCGACCCCAATTGAATCCGTCGCGACCCCAAGTAGGCGCGACCCCAACTAGGCAGGCGCGACCCCAACTAGGTAGGCGCGAACCCAACTAGGTAGGCGCGACCCCAGGCCCAACGGGTTGTTTTCTCCTGAAAAGGCCATGCGCCATGCATTGCGCTCACCCGCGCAAGTCTGGTTTGCACCCGCCAGCGGCGCCACTCCTCCTCCTCGTCCTCCTCCTCCTCCTCCCCCTCTTCCGCCACTCCTCCTCCTCCTCCTCCTCCTCCTCCTCCTCCTCCTCCTCCTTCCCCTCCCCCTCATCATGCCCCGCAGCTGGCGGGTGCCCGAAAATAACGCAGGGAGGGCCGCCTCGCACCTGCCCTGGCACGCGCCCGGCGCCCTCCCTGAGCTCCCCAGTGAAGCCCGCCGCAGACGCGCTGCAGCTACGGCTCGCCCGCGGCCTGCTCGGCCGTCTCCTTCTTGATGGCCATCGCGTCGAGCATCTTCGTGAGGTACTCGGGCAATTCGGCCTTGATCTTCTCCACCTGCGCCGTGCACTTCTGGGCCATCTCATCCCGCTTCACGGGGTCCTCCTGATGGCCGTCATCGATCAGCTTCTTGAGCTTCCCGATGCAGTAGTGCACCGCCACCGCCGTCTTCCCGCGAACCTTCACGGCCGAGGCGTCCGCGTAGCACTCCCTCAAGGGCTTGGACAGCTTGACCCCCTGCGACGACAAACCTTTGAGTGAGACCAGCTTATCCGAGAGGCCTGAGATGATGGCAACCCAGGTCTTGCTCTCTGGGTTGTCCAGCAACTGGCGCTGGAGGTCAGTGTTCGCCAGCAGCTGGGCGTTGTTGACGAGGACCGTGGGGGGCAGTGCGCCCTTCGCGTTGTCGGCCGCCGCCTTGAGGCACTTGCCCCACTCGGCGTCGAGAGACTTCTGGAGGCCGCGGCCCCACTGGAGAAGGGCGTCCGCAATCCCAGAGGAGGCTGGGAAGTCGACGTCGCCAATGCTGCCCCAATGCGAGAAAACCGACAGCTGGGCCTCCACCGCGCCCAGCGCGCTCGCGAGCGCTTTCACGGCGCCCACGTGCGAGGGGAGCGTCGCGTGCTGGGCGGCCGTCACCACGGCCTTGGTCAGAGCCACAAAGCGGCCGAGGAAGTCCACCTGGACCAGCACGGCGTTGGACCACATCATGCCATCCGTGACGGCGCGGCAGTCGGCCTCGATGCTCAAGGACAAGATCGACTCCCGCTCCTCGGGGGCCAAAGTCACCGCGGGCTTACTCGCAATGCTCACGCAGCGCATGAACGCGGCGTTGATATTTAGCCGGCTGGCCCTGGTGTCACCAAGGAGCTTCGCCATCAACTGATTGCCGATCTCCTGCAGAGCGAGGCGCGGGGGAGGGGTCGCGTCGGGCAGCGAGCCCTCCGGGAGGGAGGGGAAGGGGGATGAAGAGCGGCGAGGGGGGGAGCGGGAGGGGGAGGAGGAGGCGAGGGAGGAGGAAGAGGAGGGCGACGACGACGAAGAGGAGAGGTAGGGACGAGGTGGGTTCTAACCCCATTGGCCCATTGGGCCTCCGAGGAGCCCGAGCCCCAAGAACGCCATGGACCATGGAACTTTCGACGGCCCCCGGACCCCTGCCCCGAATGCCTACCCCGCGGCCCTGTCACCCCCCCCGATCCCCCTTCCCCCACTTCAGCTGCATCCTTGAACTCGGACGAGACAGGCTGCGAGGTGATAGACGAGGCGAAGTCAGGGCTCATGAACCCCTTGCCCCTCAGGCGCTCGATGTACGCGTCAATGCGGTCGTAGTTCTCGCGCTGCATCAACTTGGCGAGCTCTTGGAGGTCCGGGAGCGGGAGGTCGCTGGCGCCGATGTCGCCCCCCTGAGCCTTCCTGAGGATATCGATGTTGGAGAACCAGGAGATCATAACTGCAAGCCAGGGCAGCGCCGTCTGGAACTCCTGCGGGGATGAGCAGCCACGCGCCTATCCCCCCCATCCCCACCTCGAAAACCTTCGCCTCAAGTCGCCTCATCCAGCTCCCGTCTTTCCTCCTTCTCCTCACTACCTCCCCCCCTCCCTCTCCTCACCACCACCTCGCCAATCGACGCCTCATCACTGCCACCTCCTCTTGCTCCTGCTCCTCCTCCTCCCCCTCCTCATCCTCCACCTTCTCCTCCTCCCCCCGCACCCCTCACAAGGCGTAGGGGGAGGGGGTATGTCACCCTCCTCCTCCACCTCCTCCTCCTCCTCCTCCTCCTCCCCCCCATCCCCCATCGCCCTCCTCCTCCTCCTCGTCCTCCCCCTCATGTTTCTTCTCCTCCTCCTCCTCGACCTCGACTCCTCCTCCTCCTCCCCCAGGGCGGGGGGGCAACATTTCGCAGGCGCCCTGAGCTCCTGGGCCAGCTCGGGGGACACTTCCAAGTCACAGGGTGTCTTCATGGACTCCAGGACGTTGTTCAAATACGGGACGTCGGCATCGGTGGACTTCTTGGGGCCGAAGACACCGATCCACAACTCGCTGATCTCGGCCGATAGCTTCATCCAGCACCTCTCGATGCCAGAGCTCAGAGCCCTCATGTCTTTCTGGAGCCAGTCGGCCTCTCGCCGCTGCCCCGCTGCCTGAACAGCCTGCGCGCTCGCCAAGAGCTCGCCGACCCCCTTGTTAAGGACGCCCTCATTCACCATGGTCCTCATCATGCCGACGCGCTCCTTCAGGTCGGCCGCGGTGGAAAGCTGCGCCCGCGCGTCGTCCTTGCGCTTCAGGGCAGAGTCGAAGATGAGGCCGCCGAGACGAGTATGACTCTTGAACTGCCCGAGGAGATGAGCAGAAGTGTCGAACGTCTGGAAGAACGAGATAACGCCCTCCAGGGCAACCACCTCCGCCTCGTCAGGAACCTCGCCCGGGCGGTCGCAGCCGGCGACGACCAGCCAGCACTTCTTCACCTCGTCGTCCAGGGCCTCATCGTCCAAAGAGGAAGTGGCATTCTTCTCAACGAATGGGTCTAGGGCACCAAGCAAAGCCTTCCTCGCTGGGTCGAGCTGCATGGTACTACCAAGGAAGTTCGCCAACATCGCGCGGATGTTGTAGCGCTGGCACTTACGCACATCGTCAGGCTGCATCTGCGGATACTTTCGGCTGATCGCCTGCGGCGTGAGCTCCGGGAGGAAGGGGAGCACGTTCGCCATCGCACAGCGGGCCTCCATGAACGTGTCCCACAAGTGGCCGCAGCGGATCTCTATCGCGGGCTCCTCGGTGCAGAGCTCCACGATCTGGTCCCACAACATCAAGAAACCTGGTGCGCGATCCTTCTCCGTCGAGTCTACGCCGTGATAGACCTGGTGCGCGCGCATGCCAGTCTCGATGTACATCAACGTCCTCTCGTGGGTCTGCAGCTCGGTCCTCGCGGGCCCCTCGCCAACGACCTTGAGCTCCTCGTCCGCGCCCATTATGTACCTCTTTATGCATCGCTGGGTAGTCTTCCGCTGGTCGTCGCTGAAGAAAGGCGACATCGGGGTAGCCTTGTTGAACATCTCATGCTCCCTGCTCGCGTTCTCGGCCGTGGGGATTTTCTTCCGACCGCGGCGCCCGCGGCCGCCCTCCGGAGCGACCTCCGCAGGGCCTGTAGCGACTGTATCGCCTGGAGCGACTGTAGGCTCGCGTGCTGGTGGAGTCGGAGCCGAGGAGCGCCTCGAGCCAACGGCCCTTCTCGGCGGCGGGTTCTCCCCCTTCTCCTTCGGAGTCGTCTGCTTGGTGGCTCGGGTGCCGCCCCCTCTCGCCCTCGGGCGCTGCGCTGCATCCTCGCTCGCAGACGAAGTGAAGTCGCCCCAACCCTTGTGCCGCTTCCGCTTCTTCTTCTTCTTATCGGAAGCGCTCTTCAGCATGCCATCATCGGCACCCCTGGCGCCCTGCTCGTGCTCAGCCTCGGCTACTTCTGCCTGGGGCGCGTCCTTCTCGACCCCTGCCATCTGGAGCAGCTCGGCAAACGACTTCCCCTTGGATGCTTCTGCAATGGCATCGGTCTTCTTCTTGAGCAGGTCGCTGAACTTCTCGTGGCAGACGTCGTCATCTGATTCGATGCCGCTCTCATCGCCATCGGCGAGAATTTCGGCACGCTTCAAATCGTTGGCATAGACCTGCTGCAACTTCCATGGCGTGCCTTCCGGCTGTGGCATCACGACAACTTTCCGCCCGTTCACCTTCTTGACGAAGTGGCCAGCCTTTTTCATGAGCCTGGGATCGAAGCGTTTCTCATATTCTTTCACTGGGAGAACGTCTGGAGGAGGAGGAAGAAGCTCCTCGCTGTAGCGGTCGGTCGTCGTCAGCTTCTGATCGTTACGGTCTCGAGAGAACCCCCTTTTGCCCCGCTTCCTCCTGTCAACGAGGTTGGAGCGATGGTCCAGGAAACCAGTGCGATACTCCATGTCCTTGCCCATCTTATCGGCCACCTCCTCTCGCGATTCCGTGTGCTTGTACTTGGCGCGAAACACCGCCGCGCACAATGAGTCGGCCCCGCCGTCCTCGTATTCCCACTTGATCACCTCCTCTGGATTGACGGGGCATCGAGTGACGCCCTTGATGGCCCCGCACTTGAAGGAACACTTGATGGCAGGTCCGCCGGAGAGGCTGCCGCAGATGCGAACGCTCTTCTGGCTGCCCGTCTCCTGGAGTGCATCAAACTGGCCCTGCTTCGCTCTCTTCCTCCTGCGCGGCGGATGGAGGCTGCCCGCCGGCGGCGGCGGCGTCGCCATGGCGGCCCGCCCGGGCCACCCACGGCGGTGGTTGCAAAGCGCCGCTGGCTGGGCGATGCGCGATGCCCAACGCCCCCGAGGCCCGAGCCTCTCGAGCGTGACAGCCTCGACCAAGAAGAGGGGGGCAGTCTCGAGAGGGCCCCGAGGATACCGTCAGGGCAGTGCCGCAGGGGAGACAAGACGAGGGGCCCAACAATCCAGGACTCCAGGAGCGACGCAATCATGACATCATGACGACCAGCCGATGGTGGCCCCCAGATATCCCCGATAAAGGGCTCGACCGCACATGAGCACATGAGCAGCCCAGGATCGGGGCCTCCTGGGCTCTCGAGGGGAAGGGGGGAGAAGGATAACGACGACATGGAGGCCGACAAAAGCATGGAGAACTACAAGCGCGGGGGGGGGCTCAAACAGCGCGCCCAAGCGGGCTGGCTGGCTCGCCGCGAGCCTTCCGAGGCCCAGACCTCAACTACTCGACGCCTCCTACTGCTCATCACCTTGCCCCTTACTCCTTACTTAGCCCCCTGCACTCCACTGCTCCCAACTCCTCCGAGCCCCCTTTGATTGCGGTTGCGCGCCGCCTGTCGCCACAGCTGAAACCGCCACCTCTCAATGACTCATGCCGCATGCCGCATGCATGCTGCCGCATCGCCTAATTCTTAATTCGGGCACCACCCTCAGATCGCCTGCGCATCTCTCAACACGCCGCGCATCATGATGCGCGCCCCTGGTCCTCAGAAGCCCGAAGGCATCAAGGCCCCCTCCCCGACACCCGACCCATCCCCCCGCCGCCAGAGCAAGATGGGATGGGCGGAGGGCGAGGAGCGGGCCTTGATGCGCTGCAGGCTGCTGCCCTCCCGGCTCCACCAAGGCCCCAGCGGGCCTGACGCCAAGCCCAACTTCTTGAGCTCCCTCAAGTGCTGACCTCGGGGGAAGGGGGGTGGGGGGCCCCTTCAGGCGCCCCTCTTCGCCGCGGCTGGACGCAGCTTGGAAAACTGGACAACGGGAAAGCTTCGGGGACTTCGGGCCTCTAGCCCCCCTCGGCCGACCGGCATGCGCCCAAGAACGCCTGCGGAACGCGAGGTGGAAAGCGCCGCGCACCAAGCGACCCCATGAGTATTCGCCGACATTAAACTCCGACGTCGCATCCGGGGCCACATCCGGCACATCTTGGATCAACTCCCACTCGCCCACCGTGACGACCATAGCTCGGATCTCGGTCTCTTAGCAACTCGGAGCTTGGGCCGCCACAACTGCGGCCACCCCAGTCTCGTTTACCGTGCGACGACGACGACGGCGACGACGACGACGACGACGACGATTTACCCCGTCCCTCCCCAATCCTCGATTTCGACCTCTGACTAAGCAAACGTCTGCTCCCCCACGAACCTCAACCAAGAAATGAGGGGCGCATTGTTCTAGTCTATCGAACATCGCACAATCAAACAACATCGCCGAACATCGCCTTAAACCCTTAAAGACTCGGCATGGCTCGGGGCATCCGGGCAACGACTCTCACTCAGAGTCCAACGCTATCACGTCGGAGTCGCTCGTGCTGCCCGGGCCGAGGCAGCTGCCCTCCTCGTCCGCCTCTCGGGCACATGCAATCTAAGGGTGCCAAGGGGGGGGCGCCAACTTCCCGAGGAGATGGCCTGAGATGGGGGCCCGAGGACTCCCCGCGGCCCCAGGGCCTCCCAAGATTCGAAGACGCTCCAAAACGTCAAACAACTTTCTTGCACCCCGATCCTGGAACATCGATCCCCAGGGCAAGTTGGCTCCGCCCTCTAGTGGTGAACCCCCATTCGCATTGCCAGCCTCTTCCTCCTCCTCCTCATCCTCATCATCATGATCACCCTCCCCTGCCGAGCCGACCAAATCGTCGGCGTGCTGGACCTCTGCGCCGACGCCCTGCTCGGAGTGCGCCTGAGCCTGGCACGACATCGCCACGTCCCAGTCGGAAAACATGAAGGCCGCGAGCGAGACGATGTTGAGGATGAAGCAGCTCATCGCGTTGCCCCCAATCGAGAGGAGCGTGGGGTCGGAGAACCGCCCACAAGCGCTGCTTTGCACGATGTCGTCGGGCTCCCAGCCTTGAAGGCACATGGCCTCCACGCCAGTCATATCGCGCAACGCCTTCAAGAAGTATGGGCGCGCGCTGCTCACCAAGCACGGGGCAAACCAATTGTCCTCGCCTCCCATTTGCCACGACAGAGTCTTGTTCAGGTCGACCACCCTCTCGCGCATGAACGGCAAGTCCCACGCGGACTGATCCCCGACGAGTGCCCGATGAAATAATACGCTCTCTTTCATGCGAGTGGGCAAATGGACCACCCCGGCGGCAACGCCGAAGTGCTCGTACTCCGACTCCGTCGGCGGCACAGGGATGCGGCCCCCGAAGTTCTGGTCGAAGAGTTGCTTGTGGTCTACCTCGTACTTGAATGTCTTGTACCGCTTCTTATCCCGAGTCCTGTCGTCGAGCCGATTCGCTAACCAGGTCAACACCTCTGGGTGATCATTGGGGAGCATGAAATCCTCGATCGGGATCCGCGCCCCGAGGTGCGACCAACGCTGTAAATACATCTGCACGTCCATGAGCCAGTTAGGGGCCTGAAAATCTGTGGCGAGCTGGTCGACGGCCTTCCGGGACGACAGGAACGCGACGAGGTAGACTCTGCGTCTGGACTGAGGAACTCCGGCAGAAATCGGGTCGTAGACCTTGTGGTGCGTGTAGTACCCCATGCTGTTCAGAGCTTTGATCACCCCAGTCAAATCGCTATCCCTGAAGTTCCCAGGATCCTTATCAATATTGGGGACGTTTTCTAAGATGACGACCCAGGGGCGGTACTTCTTGACGTAGCCCATGCCGCCGTCTGCCGTTGTCCCACTTTTCCCTGATTTCGCTTGCATGGGCAATTCCATTCGGGTGAACTGATTAAGCATCGAATAGTTGTCGCACTCCGAACCGAAGATCCATATGTGCACGCTGGGGACCTCAACTGTGATGTTGGAAATAACGTTGTGGCACATCCCAGAGGGGAGGTCGCAAATGTCATCGGCCAAGATCTCCGGCTGGAAATGAGCCCTGATGAAATCCTGCACCCGCGTATCGTTCTCTGCAGAGAGCACGTGTTTGATGGGAATCTCCACGCCGAGGACCTCGTTCCAAAACTGCACCATGCCGAACATTACTTTCACTGGCGATTCGCTGCCGGAGCAGCCCGTTCCGATGCGCAGAGGTCCTCCCTGCAAAGACGTTCGGAGCGCGCCCAAAGACACGCCCAGCCTCTCCCTGGCTTTGGGCCCGGCGCTGTCGTGGAGGAGCCGCAAGTGCTTACGCAGCTTCGGCTCCTGGCGGGGGGGGCCGGGGGGGGATCGCCCCCTTCCATGCCTGAGACGAGGGAGGGAAGAGGG